GTTGGCTTTTCTTTTTAAATTATTTGGTGCATAACTACTCCAATCAATTTTTTTCTTAATATGCGTTTGCTGAGAACAGACAATAGTTAATATAATAAAAATTACAACTGTACCTCACACAATTCAAAACTCACTTTTTTTTACTTGACATGATCCCTGAGGGTGTCACTGATCTAGGAGGTGATATCTGGTTCTCCTCCAATACAATTTGTTCAGTAAATTCAGGCAATATCTAAAAGCAAATATACTATTACATTTTTTGAGGTCTTAACTGAAATATTAGCTTATATAAGCATAATAAATTAAAAGGTTTGAGAAAGAAAGTTTTTAGCTTTCTACTACTCCATCTTGATACAAAAAAATGTGGGAATCTTCCAAAGAAAGGAAGGAAGTAATCAATTTGAAAATAAGTAACTCTAACATGGATGTGTAGATCATGCAAAGAAGCAACTTTCAGACACAAACTGGAAGAAAGCCCTCCTGAATCAGCTACTTTCATATAAACATTGAATTACACGAAAGAAAAAAAATCTTTCGAAACAAATACTTTTATATGAACACTGAATTATACAGAAGATGCTTATCTCTACTCAGTTTGTATTCCAAACATTCGTTATGAGTAGAGAAAAGTGTCTTCTGCATAATTTAGTGTTCATATAAAAGTATTTGTTTCGAAAGAATTTTTTTCTTTCATGTAATTCAATGTTTATATGAAAGTAGCTGTTTCAGGAGGGCTTCCTTCCAGTTTGTGTCTGAAAGTTGCTTCTTTGCATGATCTACACATCCATGTATAGAGTTACATATTTTCAAATTGATTACTTCCTTCCTTTCTTTGGAAGATTCCCACATTTTTTTTGTATCAAGATGGAGTAGTAGAAAGCCAAAAACTTTCTTTCCCAAAAATTAATCACTCCTAAAAATATAAACCCTTCAATTCAAATTAAAAAGTTTTTCCAAACTATGGATTAGTAGTGAAAAAAATCAATAACTTACTGATTGCGTAGAAATCTCTGACCTTTCATCTTTGGTTTCTCCTGATGCAATTATTATCATTTCTGAATCCTCTAATAATATATTCAGAATAATTAATATTATACAAGTATGTTCCCAAGAGAAAAAATAACAAATTTCTCTGACAACTATAAGCAGGTTACAAATATATTATCATTCAAAAAACGATATATTTACTTACAGCAAATTGTTGAGGATATTCTTTTTGAAGTTCTTCACTTGAAACTGAAGAATATGCATACATTCCAAGATCCTATAATATCACGAACAATTAATATTTAATTTTATTGCCCTAACCAATACAGATAAAATCATGAAATAAAGAATGTTTTTAACCATTAACCAAATTTTAATTTGGTAACTGTTGAAACAAAATGATTTGGTTATAAAAAAAATGTAATTACATTTATGAAATCGCTATCCAAGCTGTTATTCAAACCCACCACCGTTTTCATACTTATTACATTTAGGGTTGCTTCTGTAACAGGATCTAAATCAATTTTTATTGCGGGACCACCCCCTGTTCCCGTCATATATGATTTTTTTTGTCATATCTTTTCTAGCTTTTGTTTTCAGATTATCAAATTTTGATTTAATCTGAGTCATACTTCTCACTTGTAGATTTCTAGAGTTGAAGTAATATACGGGGTGTTCCATTTGAAAAAATAAAGTTGCTAGGACTTTTTGATGGAAGTGGTAACGCCGCAATGCTGAAAATATTTTAGATCGATAGAACAGGTAAGGAAATGTGAGAGGTGAAATTTTCAGAAAAATCATGCTTTGCGTTTTCCAGGAACGTCTAACCTACCATCGACCGTGAGTCACGCTGTATACACTTGATATATAATACTGATTCTCGGAAGCTAGATATCGGAAGACCAAGAGGAGCACATGAATATTGCAAACGACGATTGGAAATCAAAGAATAATTAACCGGTCTACCACAAATTTCGAAACATACTAATATCAATGGATAAATGATGAAAAGTAAATTATTCACTTCTGAGAAGAAATTATTCATTACCTTCCAAATATTTGATACCTCTTGAGAAAAATACATTTTGTCACATTTTTTCTTTGAAAAAAATCGAGATTCATTTTGATTAGGATCAATCTAATTTTCTAACTATTGCAAATAAGCCATTATGGCTGAGAGTTATATATTTTTCAAAAGTTTTCATATGAGTTTTTTATCAGGTTAATCAAAGACAGGAGGCTTATTTTGATATGAAAATGTTAAAATGGTAGTAAAATACTTTTTTTCTCATGTATTTTCAAAACGTTTGAAATGAAAAAAATCAACGGAAAATAAAGTAATGAAGTAAGACATATGAGCATATACATAAAAAAATTATAAGTTTATTCCATGTGGTTACTGTTACCTACTCTTGACAAGCCTCATTTTCTCCTGAATATTATAAAGCAATGTTTTTACCCTGACCAAGTCCTTTTTTTGAAGTATACCAATATGCTGATGAATAAATTGTTGACACTCGTGTTTTTTGGGGGTTATCTTCGAACGAATACATTTTTTAAACTATTGCAAGGCAATGTCTTTTTCTCCTGTAGTCCAACGAATACATCCATAACGTGCTGTTATCGAAAACTGTATACTTCTTTTTTTTTTGTAAATCTCATTTTAATTTTTTTTTCTGTAACCCACCTTCTATTAATATCATTTTCCCTATCCTAGTGTTGTTCTCTAAATATTTTCTTATCCTTCACACGATTAATGAAAATTCCCTAATACTTTCCAATAAATATGCATTTCGTTCCTTAGAGTTGAATGTTTCGACATTGTTACTATCATCTTCATCATTATAAGTACTGTAGTACTTATAGAGAGATTACTCTCTAATTCAAGTTCATTTAATGATTTTCCTCAAAAGTATTTTCCTGTCTTGGGACAATCTAAAAGGAACAAATGAAATAAATTGATATTGTTGCTAGATACTATCAAAGCTCAATACAAAAATTTAGGTTTGTATGATATGTGAAATAAGAATAAGAAACACTTTATTGTGAAATTTTCACTAAACAAAAAACGCAACACGTGTTTCGCTATACCTATACACGTGTTTCGCTATACCTATACACATGTTTCGCATACCTTCTTCAGGCGTCTCTGTATAGACATGCCAAAACTCTACATCCATTATTTATAATTTTAATTAAACGCCGCGTCGCCAATACGGTATACCACATAAAATATTTTTTACAGTATCAAATATTATTATCAAGATAATGCTGCTATCTATCTGAACACTTCATGGAGTGAAGTCTCACCTGAAGGAAAAACTACCTTGATATTCCAAAAAGTTATACTTACAATTGTTAACCAACAGAGTTTTCTCCGAATATTTTACAAACAACAATATAAAAAGTTTAAATAATGGATTTAAAAAAACACGTGCTTCTTGGAGCCATTTTAATGAATATATATTTGAGATCATATGATAAAAGTTTATAAAATGAATGTATTTTCCTTATTATGATTTTTTAACATTGAAAATCATTTACGGCCGATTTCATAAAGAAACAAAGGTTATTTTAACTTTGAAGGATACTTCAATAAGGGCCGGTTCCATAATCGATGTTAAAGTCTCCTTTAAGAACTAAAGTTGTCTTTATGCTTAGAGTCGGTTCCATAATGGATTTTTAAAGCCTCCTTTACGTAAAAGTGTCCTTTATGCTAAAGCGTCGATTTCGCGACTTTTGCTCGCAAAAGGAGGCTTTTTGTCAACATAACCACCAATAAATTTCAGTTTCTTCTGAGCATTAAAATGAATTATCGTCGATTTGAGTTGATTTCTTCATATGAAGATGAGGATGAAAATTATGTGGATTTGAGGAAAGTGAAGGCATACAGGAAAAGAGGAGCATACCTGACTACATATAGTGAGAAATAGTTTTATGATAGGTTTCGCCTAATAAAAAATACAGTTTCATTATTGGAGCAAATAGAAAACGTTCTTGCACCTCGTACCAATAGGTATGTCACCATTTACATCCATGATATATAATGTATTGTTCAACGATGATTTGATATAAGATATCATCTATACCATTTTCATATTTGAAATTTTTAGGGGAGGAGCTATTAAACCGATGCAACAGCTGCTATTATTTTTGGCGATTTTTTGCAACGGGAAACTTCCTAATAACTGCGGGAGATTTCATGGGAATTTCAAAAACTTCCGCATGTAGAATAGTAAAAAAGGTGTTATGTGCGATAGCAGGTCTAAAGAAAAGGTACATAAACATGAGATCTACCAGGGAAGAGATGGAAAATGATGCTCAAAAATTTTATAGAATAGCAAGATTCCCCAGAGTTATAGGTGCCATCGATTGCACACTGGATAGAATAGAATAGATTCGGTCGGAGGTGCCGACGCTGAAATATTAAGGTCTCGCTCATGATCAAACCATTTTTAACAATAGTATTTTGAAGAATGAGTTTGAGCGTGACGAGTATGAGCCATATATTTTGATAGGAGACAGCGGTTATCATCTTGAACCATACTTGATGACCAAGTTGCGCAGAGTCATGAATGAGGCAGAATATTTATACAATGAATCTATAATCAGAACAAGAAATGTTGTGGAGAGACAATAGGGTGTGTGGAAAAAACGATTCCCAGTTCTGAGCTTCGGAATGCGCCTCAAACTCAACACCATTATGGCCGTCATTATAGCAACAACGGTTTTACATAATATGGCTATTGGTTGGAGCGATGAACCTCTACCTGAGTGGCTTGTCCAAGAAAACATTGAAGTTGAAGAAGAACAAGAAGAAGGAGGAGGAGGAGACCAAGATGATGAAAATATATTGAACGGAGGCAGAAACATGCAGAGGCTTATAATAAACAATAATTTTGCAAATTTGTAAAGAGATAATCTATATTGAAATTGTACATAGAAAAAATAAAGTTTCATAAAGAATCATTTTTGAAACATTTACTGAATTTGTTTTCGTAACAGGTCGAGTTTTAACAATTCAGTTTCAATATTCTTTTTTCCTTTTCCAACTCGTGTATCTCCTGCTCCCTGACATCTTTATTTTTTTTCAATTCCAGTTCGTGCTTCATGGTTTCTGCCATGACTTTGTAATAATTTTCTTCCGCATCTCCTAATGAACTCTGCATAACAGGTCGCAACTTTTTGGACGGAGATGTTTCATAAGGATTACAATCCGCCCAGTTGGTAACTTTCTGTGAAGCAAACTTCAAATAAATAAATGCTTAACTTGTTCAAGAGCAAGTTTATTTTAACTTACGTTTCTGGAACATCCAGGGATATTCTTTTTTCCTTTAAGCACATTTTTTGATGGGGGTTTTTGATGGCACGAAGGTTTTGCAATTTGCACCTACAATTAATCTCATTGATTTGATTGTAAGAAAATTTGCATCAATATACTAACTTCTTCAGATGGCGTTTCCTCTGCAAGTACCACCTGCAATTTAAAAATCATTGATTGAACATTCTTCATAAAATAGTCAAACTATAAACATTTAAAACCAATAAAATACATACTTCCATTTCTTCAATAAGCAATGGCGGTTCAATAAGAGAGACATCTGAATCTTTTCTCAGATCTTCATCCATCTTCTCCAAAATTGTTTCATTTGCCTGAAACAAAAAAATTTTTCATAAATATATTCAAAGATGTTTCAATAATTACTCATATTGTCATCGCCGTTTGGGTTTGCATTCACAATTTTCAGAATCATGTCCATAACTGGGTCGTCCATCTTCGGTATGAAGAATCCACCACCAGTGCCCTTCTCATATTTTTTCTCTTTCGTCACTTGTTTCCTCGTTTTTGTTTTGAGGTTGTCATATTTTGACTTTAGTTGATCGACACCTCTGAATTCTAAAGTGTTGGTGTTGAATGAAGCGCAAATCCGTACCTATACCATTTCCTGCAATTATATCTAATGTTACATAAAATACTCAGATATGAGCAGTCACATTCTTTACAAACTGGAATGAACTCACCTTCGCAATATTTGAAACCTTGTTTGTTTCTTTGTTCTCTATGAACTTCCTCTCTTCATAGATTTTCTTCACTAACCGCAGCTCCTTTTCCTTACTGAAGGGCGATGCCTTTTTTTTCTTGCAACTGCTTGAAGCCATCAACACGAAAAGAAACAAAGTACTTGAAAATCTAGAGGCAGCGAAGCGTGAAAACGAACCAAAACAGATACATTTAAGCCCACTTTATGTACGCTCAGTGATGCCAACTGTCATTCAATGAAAGAAAACCGCACTTTCAGTAAAGGCGACTTTACATTCGATTATGAAACATCTGGGACATTTAAAACCGACTTTTGAGAAAAGGCGCCTTTCGGTAAAGTGTGCTGTTGACCAATATTATGGAACCGGGCCTAAATACACACATCGGAAAAATCTAGGGATATTTTTAAAAATGGCAATAATTTTTTAGATCGCTTTAGGGAAAAAAAAGTTGACAGGTGATTATTAAACGAATGTAACTTACAACAAAATTTATTAAATGGTCAAAAATACTGAGTGCGCATATGAACAAAACTAAAAAAAAAATATGGCTATTCTTTGGCACCCCGAAAAAAAATCATAATACAAAAAAAATGGAATCAGTACAAAGTATGGCCTCCACGCTGGTTTATTACGGCCCTACATCTATCGTGCATCGACAAAATGAGATTGTCAATGTCTTGTTGAGGTACATTTGCCCATTCAGCGATTAAAAGCTCTCTCAGTTGAAACGTTGTGTGAATGTTCCCCATATGCGGAGTAATTCTTGGTTGAAGCATGTCCCACACATGCTCGATGGGATTCAGGTCCGGTGATTGTGCTGGCCATGGCAATAAATCAACTCCTTCGTTGGTGAGCCAGTCAGTCACTAGACGCGCGGCATGTGGACGAGCATTATATTAGGTGGAAGTTTTCACCAACAGCACCAGCAAACGGACGGACGATAGGTAGAAGAATGGTGTCGAGGTACTGTCGAGCTGTGAGGGAGCGATTTGGAAAAACGAGATCGGTTCTGCCGCCTATCATGATTCCGCTCCATAGCATTACTGTACCACCTCTGTATGTTTGGACTTCCTGGACGTGTCTCAAACGTTCATTATTTCCAGGTCGTCTCCACAGTCTTACTCGACGAGAATCTGGATGAAATCCAAATCTGGATTCGTCTGTAAACAAAACTGTGGCCCAATCATTTGCATCCCAGTTTTGATGTTCTTGACAACACTCCAATCTTCTACCGCGATTGCCTCTCGACAAAGGTGGACATCTCAGTGGCCTTCTGTTGTTCGGCTGGACTGCCAGTTTCACGGAAACGCCGCCACAATCGACTGATAACACTTTGGGAGACCTCCAAACGAAGAGCTACATCATTTTGTCGCATGCCACCTTGAAGAAGTCCTATTCATCTCAACCAATGGTGAGTGATGGCGTTCCATGTTAAAGCACAATATTTCCAGTTTAATTGCTGAGCAAGAACTACATAGAATGTACAAACTCGACACTTTCAGATTATTCATTTTAGCCGGAAACCTACAGTTTGTAAAAAACTTGATAAAAGATTAGTTACCGTTTTTGCAGGCTTTGTTCAACCCATAGAAATCTACAGGGTGGTCGAGTGTACCAATTTAATCGAAATTAAACGACCTCATGCATTTATTTTTATGATATTTAGTATGTTATAAAAATATCCCTAGACTTTTCCGATGTGTGTATTTTTGATTTCATAACCAAGTTGAAGTAATCTTTAAGTCAAAAACGTCCTTCAAGGTTAAAGTGTAGATTTCTCTACTTCAACTCGCTAAAGTGTCATTTAACTACAACATAACCTCAATTTTTATAATTGAGGTTATGTTGTGCTACTCGCTATGTTTGCTACTTTTGTGTTCTTTTAGCCGTTGATCATAATAATATGAGTAATTTTGAAACGTCTAGCTCAAGTTCATCTGATGAACAATTTATTTATACTAGAAGACCAAAAGTGTATAGGAAAAGAACAGACTGTTTTGAAAAATATGATGAGCTTGACTTTTACCAACGTTTTCGCTTAAAGAAACAAACTGTTTTGTATCCACTAGATGAATTAAAAGAACAAATTGAATTACTAATATAATAAGTAAGTTGTAAAATTTTTATTATTAATATAATTATAAATAACTTTTATTTAATTTTTAGAGGTGGGTGCATTACACCATTACAACAATTATTGTTGACTTTAAGATTCTACGCATCAGGAAATATGCAAATAATCGTATCAGATTTTATGGGAGTGTCTAGAAGTTCAGCTAGCAGGATTATCAAAAAGGTGTCTATTGCTATTGCCTCACTAGCCCGACAACACATTCGCATGTATGAAAATAAAAGAGAATTGGAAGAAGCAGTTGAAAAATTTTATGAAATAGCTTCATTTCCCAAGACCATTGGAGCAATTGATTGCACATTAGTTAAAATTGATTCTCCCGGTGGAAATGATGCAGAAATATTCAGATGTAGAAAATCTTATTTTGCATTAAATGTTCAGACAGTAAGCGATGCTAAATTGAAAATAAGAGATATTGTTGTGAGATGGCCAGGATCGGTGCATGACCAAACAATTTTTAATAATAGCAGTTTAAAGCAAAAATTTGAAAATGGTGTATTTGGTCAGTATATGCTAATTGGTGACAGTGGATATTCTCTAAAGCCATATCTTATGACTAAGTTACAACAAACTAGAACACCTGCTGAAAATTTATACAATGAGTCTATAATAAGGACTCGAAATGTAGTAGAGCGTCAATACGGTTTATGGAAAAGACGATTTCCCGTTTTGAGGTTTGGCATGAGACTAAAACTAGAAACCACAATGGCAGTAATAGTCGCAACTGCAGTTCTTCATAACATTGCCATTGATATGAATGATAACTTTACTGAAGAAGATGAAATAGAGGAAGACGATGAGGATGTATTACCCCCCATGGAAAATAATCCAAATATAGCAGAAAATATAAGGAATTTGATAATTAATGAACATTTTGCTAGATTGTAAATACTAATAATANATTATTTAATTCGGGGTGGGGGTTGATTTTCTGCCCGACAAAATATTTTGGCATAAGGGTCTTATTCTGTATGCTGAATTGAATGCATTTCAAAAAATCTCCATCCACGAAATATTTTAATAAGGTATGGATTTGATGAATCATGGATTTTCTTTAAACTCATATGTATATATTCCAACAATTTCTAATGACTTGATATTCTCGACAATTTTTGATATGCAGGATGTATTGTTATACTCGTTTTTAATCGCATACATTTCAGGTTGTTCAGTAAATTCATGGCTGGCCATTGATTTGTTCCGTATTTTGGGAGCCGCTGATTAGCGGATCTCCCGCTTCGCATCGACAAATTCATGGCTAGAACTCGTGGCTGCTTTCACACTGATTGATTATATAAGCATGTATTCTACAATAAATAAAATACACACAAAAAATTGGTTGTAGTTGTAATACATACCTTTTCTGCATTAGTTACTTTATTGGTAGTTTTGCATTCTAAAATATGCTTGAATTTTTCAATTTCTTGTATTAAATTCATTTCTTCCTCTCGAGAAAAATTTGACGAGCGAAGTTTCTTATTATTTTTCAAAATTTCCATTTCTGTCCAAATAAATTGTCTTCACAAAAACAAATAACCAAAACACCAAACACCACAACTCTTAACCTTACTTATTCAAATACTCGCCAAATATGACAAATCTTGTCAAAATCTATGAATTCCAGGTTAACCAACATCTTATAAATTACTTAAAAGATACTTTATAGAAAGGGCACTTTAATATTAATTATAAAACCAAATGGCGGCAACAGCTACTTTAAAGGGGACTTTAGTGTAAAGTCTCCTTTCGGTAAAGTGGACTTTAGATATTGATTATGAAATCGGCCGTTAAATATTTGAAAAGTGATGTGGATTTATTTTAAATTCTATATTCTTTTTTTCACAACTAACAACAGTGGTATAGTCTATCAGGGATCGAACCGGGTCCGAAATTTTCGGAAAACTCCGATATTTCGGTAAAGGTCCGAAATTGCCGTATATTTTTGACCGAAAATTCGGAAAATCTACTCGCCGTAAATTTTTACCATATGCTTATTAAATTTCATAACATTACCAATAATAATTTATCAACTGGGTATGTTTGTTGAATGGCCTGGAATAATAGTTTTTTATTTCCCGACAAATATCGTGGATCTAGTACAAGAAACTTTACATTTACTAAAGCATTTCAGCCCTCCAGACCTATGATTCATATCATATACGATGAGCTTCATCGTCCAGCGTCTTTACTTACTGCAATAATATGTAAGCCAGAATCGTTTAAGAATGTTGGCGTCTGCAATTATATATTATTGCCTACCCATCTATTTCCAGCTAATAAAATAATTTTGAACGATTATGTGATGAGTGAAATTTATGCATTAGAAGAGGATGTTCGGCTGAGTTTCCTAACAAAAGCCCAAGAGCACATCAAAGTAGCCCATATAATCAAAAAAAGTTCTATGAGCAATAATTTCCTTAGTCATGAAAGCGAAAGAAATCAGTTACCGTGGGTCGAATCGCAACACTAGCTCGTGCGTTGCCATTACAAGTTGATGTCGGACTTGTGCAAGATGAATGGCGATTGTTACAACTAGAAGAAGGCGCTGTGCGGTTGGACAAAACTAACTCAAGAATCTATGACTACTAGCGTCATTTCTTCTTTTAAAAACGGTCACTGGAAGGGGCGGCAAAGGTAAGGTCAGAGACAATGAATACAGCCAAAAAGCTTGATACTGTCGAAAACCAAGTTAGAACCAAACAGTCCCAAATAATAACAAAATGCTTCAAGAAAGTGTAATCTCCGTTACTGTACTTTACCTCATTACAAATATTGTAAGTTTTCAAATAATGCCGTTGTAATTTTTTTTATTGCCCAAACATGCAACAGAAGCCGACTGCACTCTGTGTTTAGAGTTTGTGGGTTTCAGGCCAGTCTCAATGTGCAACATTTATAAATTCCCATGCACATTGCGACTTTGCCTGAAACCCACAAACCCGTACCACAGAATGTAGGAGATCCGGATTGTTAAAATCGAAAATTAAAGTATTATTACTGAAACATTATTTGTGACCAATAAAACTGTTGCACTAGGTAAGTATTCGGGAAATTGAGTATTGCAATCTCCCAAAATTTTTGGGAAAATACCACAAAGTCTTATGGGGATTTCACTAATTAATTTTTCAAATACTAGTGAATTTAAAACAGTTATAATGTTGTTTTACAAGAAATCTGTCATTTAAAAAATCTCGATCTCCGACACTGAAAGCTTGTACCTACTCGTACGTAGATAGTGAGGAATTGCAGTCCTCTCCGCCATTTTGCTTTTTGAAAACAAA